TGTCCTGCTGTCCTCATACATGTCCTGCTGTCCTCATACATGTCCTGTACCAGTCTAACATACTTTTCTGCCGCTCCAGATTTCCTCATATAACACCACACCTCCTCCCTCAGCACTCTGTCAGATGCTTTTTCTAAATCCACAAAGACACAATGGAGTTCTTTCTGACCCTCTCTGTTCTTCTTCATCATCATCCTCAAAGCAAAGATGGATCTGTGGTGCTCTTTCTCAGTATGAAACCATCCTGCTGCTCACAGATAGTCACTTCTGGTCTAAGTCTTGCTTCCACAACTCTCTCCCAGATCTTCATCATGTGGCTCATCAACTTAATTCCCCTGTAGTTGCTACAACTCTGTACATCACCCTTGTTCTTAAAAATGGGCACCAGCACTTCTTCTCCATTCCTCAGGCATTTTCTCACCCTCAAATATGCCATTGAATATTTGAGTCAAAAATCTCACTGCCATCTCTCCAAGACATTTCCAAACCTCCACTGGTATGTCATCAGGTCCTACTGCCTTCCTCTTCTTCAGTCTTTTCAGAGCTTTCTGGACTTCCCCCTCACTAATCTTTCCCACTTCCTGGTCCACAGTTTCTATGACCTCTACTCTTCTTTCTCTTTCATTCTCTTCATTCATTAGCTCCTCAAAGTACTCCTTCCATCTTCCCGTCACACTCTCCTCACTTGTTAGAACATTACCATTCCTATCTTTAATAAGCCTAACCTGCTGCACATCCTTTCCAGCCTGATCCCTCTGTCTTGCCAATCGGTACAAGTCCTTCTCACCCTCTTTAGTGTCCAGTCTCCCATACAACTCATCATACCCCTTCTGCTTTGTCTTAGCTACCTCTCTCTCTGCTCTACGTCCCATCTCCTTATATTCCTGTCTCCTCTCTTCAGTCCTCTCTCTGTCATATTTCTTCTTGGCTAACCTCTTTCTTTGAACATCTTCCTGCGCTTCCCTATTCCACCACCAGGTTTCCTTATCATCCATTCTCTGTCCAGATGACACACCAAGTACCTTCCTACCTGTCTCTCTAATTACTGTTGCTGTAGTAGCCCAGTCATCTGGAAGCTCTTTCTTACCACCCAGAGCCTTTAACAGCTCCTCTCTGAATTTATCACAACATTCTTCCTTCTTCATCTTCCACCATTTGATCTTCTTCTCTGATTTGACTCTTTTTTTCTCTTCTTCACAACAACAGTCATTCTACACACAACCATCCAATGCTGTCTGGCCACGCTCTCCCCTGCCACAACCTTACAGTCTCCAATCTCCCTCAGGTTTCCTCTTCTACACAGAATGTAGTCGACCTGCGTACTCCTTCCTCCACTCTTATAGGTCACTCTATGCTCCTCCCTCTTTTTGAAATAGGTGTTGACTACAGCCATTTCCATTCTATTGGTGAAATCCACCACCATCTGTCCTTCCTGGTTTCTTTCATTGACACCAAACCTACCCATCACTTCCTCATCCTCTGTTTCCTTCACCAACATGTCCATTCAGGTCTGCTCCCATCACCACTCTCTCCTCCCTGGGAATACTCTCTATCACTTCATCCAGATCTTTACAAAATGTATCTTTCTCCTCCACATCACATCCAACCTGTGGAGCTTACCATACCATACCATTTTATTTATAAAGCACTTAAAACAGCAACAAGGCCAACCAAAGTGCTGTACAGACAAAACAACAGGTAACACACAAAGCAAAATACAAAATGAGGTAAATCAGAATATAGACATAAAAACGATGCAGATAATGACGACTAACCAGTGTGGAGCATACAGGATCAAAACACAGATCATCTGGTGTTGAAAGCTACTGAATAGTAGTGAGTTTTTAAGCGGAACTTGAAAACCGAGAGGGAGGGGTCCTGTCTGACAAACAGAGGTAACTCGTTCCAAAGTCTTGGTCCTGCTACAGAGAAGGCCCTGTCACCTCTGCGCTTAAGACGAGTTCCTGGAACTGTGAGGAGCAACTGGTCCGCTGACCTCAGGGGGCATGGTGGGACATACGGTTGTAGCAGATCAGAGAGATGGTGGGGGGGTGGGGCTGTTATGCGATTTGTAGACATACATGAGTATTTTGAACTGGATTCTAAGGTGAACCGGTAACCAGTGCAGGGAGGCCAAAACTGGTGTAATGTGCTCTCTTTTGCCTGTACTGGTCAAAAATCGGGCTGCTTAAGCATAACCACTGACCATGTTTAGCACCAAACCTTCTACTTCTACCTTCAGGCACATCACCTTATCTGACAACTCTTTTCACCTCTACTACATTCTTTACCAACTCCTCCTTCAGGACCACCCCTACTCCATTCCTCTTTCTATCCACACCATGGTGAAACGGTTTGAACCCTGCTCCAATGCTGCGAGCCTTGCTGCCCTTCCACTTGGTCTCTTGGACACATAAAACATCTACCTTCCTTCTCAGCATCATGTCAGCCAGCCCTCTACCTTTGCCTGTCATTGTCCCCACATTTAGAGTTGCAGCCCTCAGTCCTACATTCTTCACTTTCCTCTTCTCCTCTGTCTCCTGACACGTTTCCCTCCTCGTGGTCTTCAACTAACAGTAGCACAATTTCTACCGGCACCCTGTTTGTCAACAGCACCGGTGGTGGTCGTTGTTAATCCGGGCCTCAAACGATCCGATATGGTTTTGCTTTGATGAACTCGCATTATGGTTTTGGCAAAAGTGTTTAACATCGGATGCTGTTCCTGACACATCCCTCACCATTTCCCCGTGCTTGGGACCAGCACGATGGATACACTGGGTTGTGCTCCCTAGTCCTAGGTTTGAGTCCACGGCTTGCTCTAAAAATGTTCTAATATTTATGTCCGTCGTTTTTGCTCTTTCTGTTAAAATACGTTCTGAAGTCAAACAAGTGGAAATCCTTTGTTCACATCATTAAAAAACAACTTGTACTGAATTTCGTGAGTTGTCAAATTGCAGAAATATTTGTGTATTGTGTAAAGAATGCATTTTCTAAATCATAAAGTTGTTTTTAGTTTGAACCTGAATGGCTTGTTTTACAGTGCCCAGGTGAAGGTGTTTGTGACGGGTCTGTTCAGCCTGAACCAGGACATCCCAGCATTCAAGGAACACCTGAGAGATTTCCTTGTGCAGATCAAGGTGAGCAAGCAAACGATGTTACAGCCACAGTGTAGACAGGAAGCTGTTAGTTTTTAAGAGCTGATTCAATGCATCTTTTTCACAGTTCATATTTTAAAATAAACATCTCAGTAGGCCTCACAACAAGCTGTTGAAGTTTCAGTAAAACTTAACCAAGTTTTATTTAGATTTTGTTATTTTAACTGCAAACGGGACAGCTTTGACTGTAAACCTGAACGAGGCCACTTTAATCAAGACGTGGGGGTGAGACTAGCTCGGAACATTCAGATCCAGTTTAGGGTTCACACTAGGGATGTGCGATATGGCATAAAATTCATATCACGATATGTATTGTGAAGGGTGGCGATAACAATATATATCACAATATGTTTTTGGTATAAAACTTTCAATAGGAATGGAAAAAAAAAAGCATAGGGTGTACTTTGGCCATCGTTAATTTTGAAAACTGCTAGACCACAAAATAATCTCAATTAAGAAAATTCCACCACTAGGTCCAGAGAGTTTTAAATGATAAAGAAATCAAGTATTAGGCTTCTTTCTTATAAAACAGTGCAAAATATATCAAATGAAGTTTTAGCCATATGTTTCAAACAAAAGAATGTTGTTAACTCTCAACAGTTTCCAGTCGTCTCACTTAAGAAATGAAGAGCAACAGAGCAGCAAGTGCACGCTGAAACACTTCACCCTCCAACCCTCTAGTGGGCGACTCGCTGACAACAAACGCAACCAGTTTCCTCTGTGGCTCTGACCCGAGGGTCTCGCAGTAAAATCACACAACACAGCGTTCTTTCACAGATCAGAGAGCAGGTTTCTCTAAAGCTGACCAACGCTTACTTTAACTTTCGATGGAAAACTAACTTTTGACGGAACTCAGCGTTTTGCACATGCGTCAGAATTCGGCAACACTACGGCAAGCCGGCCGCAGTTAGCTTGTAGCTTCGCTACTTGGCTCTTAAAGAAAAGACTTTACCACCGCTTACGCAGTTTTCAACTCAAAAAAAGTAATGATTAAATCTGACAACTGTGATTTTACTTCAGACACAGCATTACTGCGGTTAGCCCCCCATCCTGCCATCGAGGAGTTTTTTAACTACCTTGGTGGTTAAAAAGAGATTGGAGAGCCCGACCCAAAGTCCCCAGGTTCCACTTCCTCTGTGGAAGACGTGCCAGTGGGATTGAAGAGATCTTCGAAGTATTCTGCCCACCGACCCACGACATCCCAAGTTGAGGTCAGCAACGCACCACCCCCACTATAAACGGTGTTGGTGGCGTACCACTTCCCCACCCTGAGACGCCGGATGGTGGACCAGAATCGCCTTGAAGCCGTGCGGAAGTCATTCGCCATGGCCTCTTCGAACTACTTCCATGCCTGAGTATTTGCTTCAGCGACCACCCGAGCCACATGCCGCTTGGACTGCCAGTGCTCATCAGCTGCTTCTGGGGTCCCACAGGCCAAAAATGCCCGATAGGACTCCTTCTTCAGCCTGACAGCATCCCTCACCGCCGGTGTCCACCACCGGGTTCGAGGGCTGCTGCCGCGACAGGCACCGACAACCCTGCGGCCACAGCTCCGGTAAGCCGCCTCGACAATAGAGGCACGGAACATGGCCCACTCAGACTCAATGTCCCCTACCTCCCCCGGAACATGTTCTAAGTTCTCCCGGAGGTGGGAGTTAAAGCTCCGTCCCATCAGATCCTCACAATACGTTTGGGCCTGCCAGGTCTGACCGGCATCCTCCCCCACCATCAGAGCCAACTCACCACCATGTAGTGGTCAGTGGACAGCTCCGCCCCTCTCTTCACCCGAGTGTCCATGACATGTGGCCGCAGTTCAGATGAGACAACAACAAAGTCGATCATCGAACTGTGGCCTAGGGTGTCCTGGTGCCAAGAGCACATATGGACACCTTTATGCCTGGACATGGTGTTTGTTATGGACAATCCATGATGAGCACAGAAGTCCAACAACAGAACACCACTCTGGTTCAGATCAGGGGGGCCAATCCTCCCAACCACACCCCTCCAGGTCTCGCTGTCATTGCCCACGTGAGTGTTGAAGTCCCGCAGCAGAACAAGGGAGTCCCCGTGAGGTGCAGTCTCCAGTACCCCCTCCAAGGACTCTAAAAAGGGTGGGTAATCTGAACTGCTGTTTGGTGCATAAGCACAAACGACAGTTGGAACCTGTCCCCCCACACATAGGCGGAGAGAGGCCACCCTCTCATTCACCGGGGTGAACCCCAATGTACAGGCACCAAGATTGGGGGCAACAAGTATGCCCACTCCTGCTCAGCACCTCTCACCAGGGGCAACTCCAGAGTGGAAGAGTGTCCAACCCCTCTCAAGGAAACTGGTTCCAGAGCCATGTGTTGAGGTGAGTCCAACTATTTCTAGCCAGAACCTCTCAACCTCACACACCAGCACGGACTCCTTCCCCACCAGAGACATGACATTCCATGTCCCAACAGCTTCTGTAGCCGGAAACAGAACAAATGTATGATATTGTAGAGACTTACCTGCTTCTGATCCTTCATCCACACGGCGGTGAAGTTAGTTTACGACTCCGTCATGTTTACGTTTCATCAGCGTGGTTCTCCGTGTTGTCACTTTTCAAAGCTGCATGTTGCGCAGTTTTTATCTTTGTGAAGCATCAAGAGCTCCCACAGTTTTCTCTTTGTCGGTCATTTGTAAAACGTACTTAATTTCCTTTGAAAACAGCCTCTGCTTCCCCCTCGCTCTGTTCAACTTGCGCTGCAGAGTTTTTGTATTTTAATTTTATTTTTTTACTTTAGTCAGTCAGCATTGACTGACTAAAGTAAATATATGAAGTAATGGTTGACGATGCTCTGCAGGTGAACAAAACGGCTCCGCAGCGCCGTGAGAGACTCTTAATCGCGTGACACAATGAATCGATAATGAAATTCGTTACCAACTCTTTTAATCATGGATTTTCATCATTTTATTGATTCGTTGTTGCAGCCCTAGAACATACAATGATGCCAACACATGGTACTTTACTTATTAAATTAGTACCATTGATTTTTATTGTTAAACACTTTTGGTAACAGCTGCTGTTTTTAAATGTACTTTTTAAATAAATTTGACGTGATTTCTGCTCAGCAGAGCCCCGAGAAATGGGAAGAACTCCTCCCTCCCCTTGTCTCCTCCACTCAGTTTCACGCATTCGGATGAGCTTAAATGAGATATTGGTATTTAAACACATGGTTACCGTACACAGAAATACTTTTTTAACTTTGACTTAAATATGTATCAGTTTTGACTGGCTGCTTTAAAAATAAATCTGACTTCTCCGCTGAGCTCTTGTGATGGAAGTGGAGGAGAAGGAGCCCTCATGTTGTCTCCTCTCCATGCTCGATGCAAGTTTAAATGAAATAGATATTTAAACACACATTCACCGTATACAGAAAAATGTTGCACAAAGAATTTAAAAACTTTTATTAAAATTTGTATCAGACTTGACTGCCTTGTGTCCCCAATACCTGACCATCGACCCATTGATGCAAAGCTTAAAGGCAGCAGCTGTTTCCTTCTTCCACAGCCGGATCAATCACTTTTAACATGAAAGCTGCATCATAAGAAACTCTTTGTGCCGTTTCCATTATTGCTGCAGATGAACAGGTCTGTGCATGAGGCGCAAACTATGGTAACAATATGGTATTTATACAGTTTAGTCCCATTGAGCCTCAGGAGCTCATTTACAAGAGAGACCTGATTTTAACAGAGTGATGACAACAGTCAACAACAAAGACAACAGTAGACAATCATAAAAGAAAGCAAACAAATTGAGAAGGGTAAATGAAGCAAATGGTATTTTAAAAAACAAAAACGTCTAGAATGTAAAGCGATGTAAAATGCTAAAAACAGGAACACGTCTGCGTTGGTTTTTCACATGAACTGAACAGATGTTTAAAGCCACTTAGAGAGGTCAAAGGTCGAGAGCTGCAGATCTTTTTACAAGATATTCCAGGAAACAGGAGCGGAGTAGGAGAAGGTCCTTTTGTCTAGTTCAGTCCTCACTGAGGGAACACTGCAGGTAATAATGTCCTGAGAGCGCACGCTGTAGCTGCACTCACACAGAGACATGTAGGAGGAGATGTATGAAGGCAGCAGACCAGGAAGTGATTTAAAGATGAAAATGTACCAGTGGGAGAGGCTGTGTGAAGTTAATGGTGACCAGTTAACCAGTGAATACTGGGTGCAGTGGTGGGTACGGTAGTTACAACCAGTTCTGAATCTTAGTACACCATGATAGACAGCATCCAACATCTGCAGCATCCAACATCTGCAAGGTGCTATATACCTCAGTAAACCTCATTGGTCATCGAGGTTAGACTTCTGGTCACATGATGAGAGTGGGTGGAGTTATGGTAGGGAATTTGAAACCCTGAGCAAAAGACTTTTGTACATGTGGTTACTTGAGGGCATTCACTCTGTGTCACCAAAGCTCGCCCTAAAGCCCCAGTATACTCCCGCGTACGTCCGCGTGAACACGTGTACTGTACGCCGAGGGTTCATACTCCAGCGTACACCCCAAGCAGCTGCAGTGCAGCTTAACAGACGAGGGGCGTTAACCTTCGGGACAAATTGAGGTCGCCGATTGGTCATTTGCTGACACGCCTACTGGATTGATTGACAGGTCGGGGGAAAAAAGAGCTGGCAGCCTCAGCCGCAGCGGTGTTCTGTGTTTATATGTTGTTAATAAAAAGATTTAAAAAAAAAAAAACAGGGAGCGCTGGCTCTACAGTCCACACATCAGACCAGCCCACCAGGAAATCTCCAGACCCTCCCACAGCCACGCTGGACGTGAGTTTAATTCGCTCGCGGCGCCCAGCTCCTTAATTTCTCACCATTTCAGTCATGGCATCAGTGGAGGAGGAAGAGATCACTGCCTCTTGGCAAAAAAACAAAAGAAAAGGCCAGATCAGAGATGAAGAAGGAATTTAATACATTGGTGTCGCAAACAAAACAGTCCGTCGCTGGGCAGTTTATTGTGCGACACCGCGTACGTGTATGTGGTCGTAAAAATGTGAGCTTTGCACGGACATACCCTGGGGGGTACGCTCGTACCTCCACATGCGTACGGACGTGCGTACCTTTGCGCGTACCTCTGCGTATGGACGTGCGCGGCAGTATACTTGGGGGCTTTAGAGGGTTGGGTCATATGAGCTCCCAGTTCTGTCAAAGGAAAATGTTATTCAGCAGCATGAAGTTTGTCAAAATAAAATATAAAAATTAGTGCTGGGCAAAGATTCAAATTTCAATCACAATTAATCTCAAATATTTTGCGATTAATCTGATTAGTTTGCACAAAATTAAATTATGACTTAAAGATGTTTAGAACATTTTTAAGGAACTGTTTTCTATAAACAATGTTCACTACATTACAAAGACACTTTCTAACAGCAGTGTTCTTCTAACAATTAAAGTATTTCTAATAACAAACATGAACACATCAAATATGAAACCAAAGCTGTTTGCCAGGACAAAATGTTTTTAGTTTATTTTAGAGAGAAAATAAATTCCTTCAAAGTCAAAACCACAATCATAACAGATTAACAACAAATTCAAAATATACATGTTTTTTCTGAAATGTTACAAGAATAAACCTTTTTAAACGAGCAGCATCATGAAGAGTTGATCTGATGCTGCTCAATAATCCAGGTAGATTATCTAACCAGGTTAAGTGAGGTCTTCTGAACAGATTCTTCTTTGTTGAAACGTTTTATCTTTTGTTCAAAAGACTTCTTCAGTCTGAGGACGTGATAAAAACTCAGTCCAGTAGCCTCATCAACCAGTTTCTGCTAACCAGAACCAGTACCGACATGTGAGGACCATCAACCTAGTAATTGATAGTAAGAGCTCTGCTTGCTGTTCGCTGGTGGACTGAGTGATTCTACTGGTATTCTGACAGGGGTTCCTCTAGGATTCATTTTAACTGGTGGTGGGCTGCCTGCCTGCCTGCGGGGCGGGGGTCCTCTTCAAAAAATTTTTGAATAAAAAGATGCCATTTTCTGATTCTGATTTATTTTAACAGGTTGTTAAACATCTACGTTTACCTACGCTTGTAAACACTTGATTCAACAATTATTTTAGAGACATCAACAAAATAAAGTCAGGTGCTCTGGACGGATTTAAAAAATAGTTGAAATTATTGATCATGCATCAAGATATTTTAGAGACGCCTCGTTCAACTAGTCCATATCTGCATCATCCTGTTTATAAACTCACTCCGATGACTAAGATATTAATGTGAAACAATTTATCGCAAACAATGACTTTAGGTTACACTAGACTTTTTGTTAATTTTTTTTTATTTCTAACACAACATCCCGTTGTACTGAGCAGTGGTGACACTGAACTGCATGTTTAAATAATATAAACTTTACCCAGTGAACATTTTAATCACCAGCAGCAGTGAACTCAGGGCTTTTTGCTCTTTTCTGATTTAGTGGTAGACTCCTAACAGAAAATGACCTGGGGTCATGCAGCTTCACAACATTAAATTACACTGTGCCGAGCACGTGACAAAAAACAATCATTTTAGTCACTTTTTTGTCAACCTGCATGTAATTATTAAAACAAAATAATTTACAGGTTCCTTCTTTGCTTCCACAATTTCTGCACTTCATAACTTTTATTCCTCTTTCCTTCACAATCCTCTGGGAATAACGTCCACCTTCTTCTTCTCCTGTTTTCATTCCCACTGTTCCTTCCCAATCACTGATTTTAACTGTTTTACTTTCCATAAAACTTGTCACTTGGCTTCTTTCTGCCTAACACCATCTTTCTCCTTCAAGGTGTTCTCTAGAACTCCATCAGCTGAACTTTTCTAATCTGAAGGCAACATCTCGCCGCGCACAACACGGACACTAGTTAAGATGCTATGCGCTCTGTTTCTCTCTCACATCCTGACACGCACACACCCGCCGATCAACAGCTAATGTAGCTGTAAGCTAACACGCAACACGGGAGTGTCTCTCCCCCCCAACCCCGACAACAAAACTTCCCGAAGAGATGAGCACCTGCCACCTGCTAAGCTAACCTTCACCTTTTCTCTCCCGTCGACTCGTCTCTAGTGTCACAGAGCGGTGCTGTGGTTCGCAGGCAGCAGGAGCCAGCAGGGTTGGCTTTTCAAAATAAAGTAAATTTTAACGTTTCGTGATATTGAAATTTATTACAGTTCTATATAAACCTTTATTCTGAAGGTGTGGCAACTTGTATTTTACCATGGCGGTGCGCCACGATTAATTACATGTAGAGAAAACCCTGTCTTTTATACATATTCTAGATAAGAGAGGAGTAAAAGAAGCCATCTAACAATAGTCACTACATTAAAAACGGGTAAAGCACAAGATAAAACCAGGTCCAAAGTGTGTCCATGTTCATATGTAGGACCAGTCACAGCCTGCACAAGATTAAGAGTCAATGCTGTTTAAAAAGAACTGCACCATGGGTACAGCAGGACAACACACATGGATATTAAAATCACCAACTATAAGGACTCGGTCATACTTTGGCATAATTTCAGCCCAAAAGTCTGAAGAATCATTTATAAAATCATTATTGTACTTGAGGTGGATAGACCACCACACACAGCACAATGTGGGAGGAGCCGAGTTCAGACGGGCTCAAAGCTGCTGAATGAAGATGGAGGCAGCTGTTTACAGTCAAAACAACTTTTAACAACGGGTACTATTCCTCCTCCTCAACCAGACGTCTGTGGGGAATTAAAATAGCAGCAATCCTGCAGTAAAAGTTCCATCAAAACGCTGGACTCACCTGGTCCACGATCTAATCCCTGATATAAAAAGAAATCCCCGATGATAAAGTTTTATTAGCCGGCGATCTGGCATCAATCAGGCCCGTCCTGGCAGCAAGCGGATCTGCGTCCTTATTCAACATCCGAGGGTTTTACCCTGCTCCGCTGTCGGGATCAGCTGGCAGACTGGAGCAAACGTTGCTCTGCACGTGTGGCCAGTTCTGGTGAACGATTTCTTGCCGTCAGTCATCCAAGTTTCCCACTGAGCTCAGAGTTAATGCACGATTCACACTGATGTCGAGTGGCTGTGAATACTCTGTTGAGATGCAGTTTCCCCACTCCCCATGGTGACCTGTTGGGTCATTTCATTGGTCAGATTTTTTTTACCGGAGTCTTATTGAGTCACCAGGACCCACCCCCCAAGAGAGACTTGTATTAGGCAGCTATGTGAGCACCGTGTTACTTTTCTAAGTAAATTAAGACGATTCTTATTCATAAACAGAATTATACCAGTACATTTTCCTTAATCTAGCATATTGAACGTCGGTCTGTGCAACCCGGAAGTATTCCTTTTAGTGCATGCGCAAATGAGCTTCACTACAGATCGGGTTCCGCAACAGATCGGGTTCCGCAACAGATCGGGTAACCACAAGCCCGTCCAAAAAAGAAATCCATAAATTAGTGGCAGCATTGTATAAGCCATGGGGTCCGAAGCGTGTGAAAAAAGTAGCAGCTTTTAGTCTGTAAATTCCGGTAGTTGCATTGTGAGGTCTGCCTAATGGAGCGGCATTCTTCATGGCCCTTCTCAGCTGAACGTATCGAGTGCTGCACTCCAGACGGCTGACCAACATGAATCTGCACAGACCTCTGGACTGGTTTGTGTGAATCAAGTTTTTACTTCTTTGTGTCTACACCAACATGTAGTTTGTGGATCACTCATACTTAATCGTGTTTGTGAGGATTGTTAAACAGGATGCCAATGAATGATCAAACTGTGGATCTGTCAAGTCAAAGTGTTTGATCTGGTAGAGCTTGCATCAGAACCAGATGAATCGAGTCTGTGAGGTTGAGTCCATGTGGACTCAAATCAGAGCGCAGAGATCCATCCAGCTAAAAGAAGCTCTTCGCTTCATGACTGCTGAACTTGTGCTGTTCTTCTCCTGCAGGAGTTTGCTGGTGAGGACACTACAGATCTTTTCCTGGAGGAGAGAGAGGCGGCTCTTCGCCAAGCCCAGGAGGAGAAGCACAAGCTCCAGATGTCTGTGCCGGGTATCCTCAACCCCCACGAGCTGCCCGAAGAGATGTGCGACTGAAGTGACTGCAGCAACTGTAACCTTCACCCCTAAAATGAGAGGATGCTTCCATGTTTTGTTTCTAGTGCGTTGGTGTGAGAGTGGCGTAGAGAAGACATCTTGGGGCCATAGGAAGGACCGTGACGCTCGGTTGTACGTCGACCAAATCAATGTGTATATGTAAATGAGATCCGCCCTCCCTCGTGGTTTAGACCCAGCTTTTGTTTCTTTACATTCATTTTATACAAAGATTGGTTTGTTTGTGTGTAACATGCAATCTTTTGTTACTCATTTGGTATTAAAGCTTTATGTCTGGCAATACGGTTCTTTTACTTCTGCGTAAAGTTTCAAATTAAGTTTTAATCCTCCTTCACCTTACTAAAATGACATCTTTGTTAATATGTAATATAATGTTTGAAGGATTTGCAGTGTTCCTGGCAGATTGCTCTGGTTTCTGAGGTGCCGTGTGCACTGAAAAGGATGAATGTGATGTCAAGGATTGGTTTGTACTTCCTTTTGTTTAGTTGACCTTTGTGTGCTTACTGTGTTGGTTTTTGAGGGTAAGGGGATGTTTGGGCTCCGGCTCACTAAGTGAGTTGCTCAGCTTTTGAATGAAATTGAAAGCTGTGTAAATCCTCGTCCTGTTTGTAAACCTTTGAGTACTCTGACAATATAAAGTTGGCTATTTTTACAAAACATCCGTATCACTGTGTTCATTATGATCGTGATTAGAATCACACTTAAGATGACCTTTAAGTTTTAGTAGATCTTTATCTGAAGGCAGTCAGTTCCCCTTCGAGGTTATTTATGTAATAAGTACTTGTAAAATGTTCCATTAAACAAAATGATTGTTGTCATATAAACTTTGTTTATTACATGTTTGCTTAATTAAAGTTTCAGGGAGACCGGACTAGTGTGGTGTTTAATTAATATTAAGCAAAGGACACCTAAAATGTTTTCACTTGCAAGGGTTAAGCACATTTGTGTTTGAAAGTTTGTGAAGCCTTTAGTTTTCTATATTTCTTCATAAATATGACCTCTCCTGGAAAAAAACCTAACCTTGACCCCTCCGACAACTTCCGGCCTGTCTCCAGACTCCCATTCACCTCTAAACCAATGGAAAAATTAGTTGAGTCTCAGTTGAAATGTTTCTTGGAGGATCACGCTGTCTAGAGTTATTCCAATCTGGCTTCAAAATTCTCTCCACAGCACTGAAACTGCTCTACCGAAGGTTTTAACGACGTTTTCCTAGCCACAGACGCAGGTGATTCTGCTTGTCCTATTGGACTTTACATGTGCTTATGGCACTCGACCATGGGATCCTCACTGCTAGGCTAGAGCAGTGGGTGGGCATCACAGGGTCAGCCCTCAAATGGTTTAGGTTCTACCTCTGACAACCTTTTGTGTCATCAAAGATTACATGTCAGCATCTGCAGCGCTTCAATGGGGGTTACCGCAGGGGTCCATCCTCGGTCCCCTTCTTTTATTTTATACCTGCTGCCACTAGGTGCTATTTTCCGCAAACACAACATACCCTTTCATTTATACACCGATGACTATCAAATTTACTTCCTCCTGAGGCACAGAGGCACACGCTCTATTCAGCCTCTTCTTGACTGCCTGGCTGACATCCGGGACTGGATGGCTTTAAACTTCTTAAGCTTCAATGAGAAGAAGTCTGAAGTCCTGCTGTTCCATCCCAGTGGCACAGTCATGAACCATGACATTGACCTTTCCTCTCTAGCCCCGTTAAGAGAAACAAAGGGTCACTAATCTGGGAGTGATAATGGACCTTTCCTTGAAACATGAACAGTCACGTAAACATGATTGTTAAATCCTGTTTTTTTTCAGCTGAGTTGGCTGTCTAAGCTGAAGCCCATTTTATCCAAAAAAGAATCTTGAGACAGTGATCCATGCGTTCATAACATCCAGGCTCGATGACTGCAATGTTCTTCTGTTTGGAATCAATCAAACCTCCATTGCTCGTCTACAATTGGTCCAAAATGCTGCAGCCCGATTTTTAACTGGTACAGGCCATAGAGAGCACATTACACCAGTTCTGGCCTCCCTACACTGGCTACTGGTTCACCTTCGGATCCAGTTCAAAATACTCCTGTATGTTTTTAAATCACTGAACAGTTCTGCCCCATCCTATCTCACTGATCTTCTGCAGCCATATGTCCCACCTTGCTCTCTCAGGTCAGCAGACCAGAGGCTCCTTTCAGTTCCAGAAACCTGTCGTAAGCTCAGAGGTGACAGGGCTTTCTCTGTTGCAGGTCCAAGACTTTGGAATGAGTTGCCATTGCGTGTCAGGCTCGCTCCCACTCTCACTGTTTTTAGGTCTCGCCTGAAAACACACTTTTATTCCCTTGCCTTTGACACGGTGTGATTTGATCCTGTCTGTAGTCTACAGTGTTGGCCATTCAGTCATTATCTGTTGCTATTTGTATCTATATTTTTATTTTATGTTTTCCTGTCCACTGTGCTTGTTTGTTTCTATTGTACATCACTTTGGTTGGCCTTGTTGCTGTTTTAAGTGCTATATAAATAAATTGGTATGATAAATATCAGTTTCACACATGTAGATAAAGAGAATCCAGTTAAACACATGAGACAAATATTATCCTTGGGCATTTATTAATTGAGGAAAATGATGCAGTGTTACATAAGGGCGTAAAAGGTAATGGATGGATGACATATTTGTGAGTACTGTTTATTTTTAATTTACATCATGTTTTATTTATTTATGGTTTAGGATCCGAACCCTTGGGGACTAGTGGCTTCGTAAATCATAACTTATTTTTTTGTTCCATTTCATTTATTTCAAGAACGATAAATTATGAAAAGCATCTTATTTAAATTAAACAATTGCCTATAATACGATGGTTAGTGATCATAGATATCCTATAAACACGATCGATATGATATTTATATGATATTTATATGATCTCTATGTTTGTGCTGAGGTGGTCATTTTTTCTTTTTTCTACTCGTTTGCCCTTGAGACCTCGTTTGTAAATTATCGCGAGACAAGCGGAGAAACACGAACAGCCGAAGGTCTTTACGGAGAAACACGAACAGCCGAAAGTCTTTACGGAGAAACACGAACAGCCGAAGGTCGTTACGGAAAATGCCGAACGCAGCCGACATCCTGTGTCGACTCCCCTCCCCTCCTCTTTCATCATGGCTGCTGTTTCAAAGCTCTGGTAACGCTCAGATTGATGATAGACTTTTATCCTTCAGTGCCTCTTCACCTTTTGGTGACCACCATCTTCGCTTGGATGTAAATCTCGTCCTCCACCTCGCAGTTCGTCAGGTTTCATTTAGTGGAGTAACCTTTGTATCATCCCCTTCACTGGGCCTTTTCAACATCCCCCAAACAAGTCGCAGCAGTTTTGCAATGGTTTGAGTTGCTGCTCTCAGATTTCTTCTCCATGAACAATGTGTGAAAACTGCGCTGAACTGGTGGAGGTTTTAAACGAAAGTAAGTAAATAAACCTTGAATTTCCATCAGACTGTGCTGGTTTAGCTGCTTCACGTTTAGCGTCGGTGCTCACTGAAGCTTGGTGGACGCATGTTAGCTCGGCCACTAGCTAAATATAACTTGTAGCCTTTGTTTTCCTTAGTTCGCACTTCCATGGGAGTCTTTTGTAAACCCCAAACGTGCACACGGGAGCACGTTGTGGCTAAACAAGTCGGGTTGTCGGTGACACTTGTTTCGTGTCGGGCTGTCTTCGGTCAGGCTGATGCCATTTCTGGGCCTCTCTGCCAAACGCCCCAAACAAATGTCCTTTCCACAGCACTAAAATGAAGCTGTGTGTGACGTGACGGGCGTGAGGAGAACATGTCGGCACGGCGGGGATGGAGGAGGGATGGAGGAGAGATGGAGGAGCCAGAGGAGCACGAGTGGTGTCTGCTGCTCAGCTAGGAGCTAGCTGCTCTGTTAGCCGTGCAGCTAGCCTGACTTTGTTTGGTGTGTTGGTCAGGTCACGGCTCCACGTCCACTGCCGACCATTGTTTTACACTCGAACTCTTCGCCTTTTCAAAATGGCCCACTCTTCCTCCGTGACCCCGTGCGTGTTGGGAGCGCTGACACGAACATGCGAGCAGACATTTTGATCGGAGCCTGTGTGTGAACGGAAGCTAGCCGCAGCTGAGCTAGCCGCAGCTGAGCTAGGTAAGCTAGCCACAGCTGAGCTAGCCGCAGCTGAGCTAGATGCAGCTAAGCTAGGTAAG